AAAGCCCCGCAACTAATGCAAAAAGCGCATGGGCGAAAAAATTCCCCCCCCCCATACACACACTTTTTGCCCCCCCTCCGTTCAGCTGTAGCACTCTTTTGTTACGTAGCTGCCATGCCAACCGATAGTTACACGAAGGCTGGGATACTACCAGGTTGCCCAAGCATAGACAGGGAAAATCGAGCGGCAGAGGTCGGATTCGAACCACGGACCTTCCGGTCAGTAAATTCGTGCTCTAACCACTTGGACCATCTCGCCCCACATTTTGCCAACTCCAATTTAATGTACACACACAACCTCTGCCTATTTTTGATGGAAACAATTCCTTATCCGCTCATTTCGTCCAAAAATTTCCTATGTTCGGACATAAAATCTCAAATGAGCTTTCTGACGCTTTCAACTATCGTTCATTACAAGGAGACGGCAATGCGTTTTTTGCAAAGCCACGGAGTGATCCATCAGCAACGTCGGTACAACATGGCCACCAGATGGAGGTATAATACCCGACAGTGTCGGCAGGAGGTCGGTCTTCGAACGGGAACTTTGCTAAAGCAGTCTATAGTGAAATTTAAGACAGCAATTCTATTCACTTATTGCTGGTCAAAGATTTTGGCAAAAATCAAATTCTGTTCAGAGGAATTACCTATTAACCACATGACTGCTGTTGACTGGAAGAACTTTCTTCGCAAAGTTTGCGCCTGACGGCTTTTGCAGACTCCAGCAGTTATCGGCGGTCCAGGTCTATACGCCGTAAAAACCACGCAGGGCAAGTCCTTCCCCAGCAGTGGATTTTCGGAGGGATCGACCGGGAAACTAAAGAGGTGTTCATGTATGCAGTGCCAGATTGAAGTGCTGCATCGCTCCCGGCTCAGTCATCATCTCCGATATGTGGGTCTCACACCAAGGTATGGAAACGATGTTTGACATGAATTATACTCACGAAACCGTTAATCATACCAGAAGCTTCGTGGATCCAACGACTGGAGCTCACACACAAACCACCGAAACTCGTTGGCACGTCTACAAGATGCAGAATAAAGGCCAAAGTGGCACACACCAATCTTTAGTGGACAGCTACTTGTGTGAGTACGTTTGGAGGCAAAAGTACCGAAAAACGGACCTTTTCGTGCAAATTACCAATGACATGTCCCAATTTCACCCTTTTCAGTAAATACTATAAATACAAATTTCATATCCTCTTTTTTTCCAAATCTTTTTTTGGTGGCGGGGTTGGCATTAACTTTGTGAGCAAGTAAGTGAAACGTCGACTAATCTTTCACCGATGGATAGAATACAAGTGGCCATATTGAAAAGGGCGATAATGAGAGATGAGAACCACCTACTTACAGTCAGGTGTATTCATCTGTTTCACGATACTTGGCAAAGGTGTCCGATTTTGTAAGTTGGTCCTGCTGTTTGTTGACATGTGTCGAGGTGAAAATCAGAAAGTTCGCGGGGGGGGGGG